ACTAATATTAACAATTAAAGAATATAATAACCTAAGAAAATGCTAGCTCCAAACTATTATTTTAGGATTGACTATAATCTTTACTTCCAAAAAAACTATAACTCTAGTTAAAAATTAGTTCTAAATCTTTCATTTTTTGGTTATAATAAAAGTATCGAATTATGAAAAGTATTTCAGTGAAGTCTTTCTTAACCTTTTATAAGACCTAATTATACCATTGCTAAGTTCCACACATAATTGGTTCCAAAGTTGAATTATAACAAAAAAATTTATGCACTAATTTATAACATAGCCTGAAAATTATGAGATTAGAATAGTAAGTAACCCATTTGACAAGTATAACTCCCATCTAAGTTTGTTAATTGAACTCTTTAAACTAGTTATTGCTTTATATTTTAAATTTTTAAAGAAGTAAAGCTTACTCGAGGGTAAAAAATGAAAGCAAAAAAAGCCATAGAAGATTAGACAGATTATTGTAAGAATAATGAGACAACGGATCCAAAAGATAAATGCTTGCATTCCTCTAAAGTGTCATCCCTTTCTACAAAATACTCTTCCTACGAGAGTCACCCTCGTTGTCACAATAATGTAACCGAAGGCTTTAGCTATTAAATGTCAATCATGCATGCTTTTAGAAAGAAAATATCCAAAGAGAGCCCTATATAAAAAAATGCAACCAATTACCAATATGAATTTTCAAGTTCATGCCTCCAACAAATAAAAAAAAAAGATATATATATTGTGAATCTAGATGTGGGTCAAGGTCGTCAAATTAAGAAAATAACCAAAGAGAAAGAAGACAATAGAAAACATCTGAAGTAGGGTACAAAATGCAGTTCGGATGCTAATCAATTTCGTTGTTTTTTTATGTAAGGACAATTCGAGGGAGAAGAATTAGTTCGTGTATATATATATATTTTTTATGAGAGAAGAAATATTATTAGAACAGAAAGGAGAAAAAATTACAGCAACGAAGATGAAATACCATCCAAAAGCTTCCTGTAGGGAGAGCCAAAAAGGCCATCCTATCCCAAAGAAACTGGAAAGAGAAGAAACTAAAGTGGAGGAGACTGAGGGAGAGACAAATGGTGAAAGCATAAGCGTTTTATTGGCATTCAACACAAAATTTATTAGAATTAAAATAAACTAACAGAATTCAATCTAATTATTTGTATTTTCGTTCATATTAAAAGTTCGGGTTTATCTCCGTAACCAAACAGCCAGAAATCAATAAGGAATAGGATTGTGACCGTTGCCAAAAGCCACCAAATTACTGAAGCACATTTTCTTTTTATTCCTTTCTTTTTAACTCCCGCTTGCACCAGCTCTCTCTCTGGTTCGGCTGCAACTCTCGTCGGAACCAGACTGCCATAAATCCTCACAGGCCGGCGAGAAGCATCCGGCCGCCGCTACACTTTTCCGTTTGCTTTGAGGTCGCGAGAGCGGTTTGGGCGAGAGACGTGACTGATTCTGGTCATTGTTGCCCTTGATCGTCGTTGACAAAATTTGGACTTGAAGCCTTGGCGTTCCATGATTTCTTCTTTCCTGCTACTCTTATGGTGTAGCCTTCAGCAGGAAAAGTACCAATCGACCGCATGAGTGGGCCGCGCGTGGCTAACTTCTGGCTGATTACGGCAGCCTGACCATCGGTCACAACTTGGCTTAATTAAAGTTGATTAAGGTAGGTTTTCTTTATCCTTCTATTTTCTTCTGCTTTCAACGTTTGATGTTGTTTTTGTTCTTTGTTTTGGACTTATGGTATGAGACTGTTATCGAATTGTTATCTATCGTTTACTTCATTTATATTGATTGCATTGGAGTCGCGAAATCGTTATGGAACTTAGGGATATGAGAAATAATTAATACTTTGTTTGTGTTTACTAGTTAAAAATAGAAGAAAATTGATTTTAGACATCGCCTACCAATTATTTGAAAAAAAAATGTTTGTCTGGCATTTCTTGCTTAGACTACTAGCTCTTTGTGGGTGGGATTTTGGCTTTTTGCCCTCGAGTCTTCTGTTCCTTTCTTCACTGGCAGTGGCTCATTTTATGGTATGGTATCCGTCCAAGCTAGTCTATATGGGCGTGGGTACGGTTATATTGGAATATTGAGCCATTCGACTTTAGAGATTGAAATAAGATTCCTACAACAATCTTCCTGAATGGCAAGTTTCTTGCCTTTATTTCCACAACAGGCTAGTGTCTGACAAACTGAAGAATATTTTGGATTTTTTTTTCACTTTATTGCATATTAGTGATTAATTGTAGTTAAGAAAGACTTGTCAATTCTGTCATCCTTTGACGAAGACTTTTTTATCCTTATGATTCCACATGTTTTAACTGTTCCCATCGCACCAACTCTTGTGGAGAGACTTCAAAATAGAAAGAGAACATAAAAATACCCAGAAATGATTTTGAACTGCTGAAAACCAGTCTGGGAGGAGTAAACCAGTCTAGGTGAACCGACTTGGGCATCCTTTATTTGAAAGAGCCAAAAGAGAATATGATATTATAAAGCGCAATCTCATATCACACGTGTGAGACTCATGCGCCGGTATCCAGTCACCTGACAGCAATGAGTATTTAGCATTTGGCCCAACTGGAGGTGGTTGCAGATTGGAATTCAGTGTTGAGTACATCGTTGTGTAGAAGTACAGGTACTGGATCAAGAGAGGCAACATTTGGGAGAACTTGCAATGGTGATTGTCTCATTTTTCGGTCGAATTTTGCAGCAGGACTTTTTGGGTTTGTTGATCGATTAATGGTAGTGGTTGTGTCGATCACCTCCCATCAGTGACCATGATCTAGGTTGCAACTGTAGACTGGGTTAGGTTTGAAGTTCTTTTTTTTTTTTGTAACAAATGGGTTTGAGTTGTTTGGTATAGGATTTTTTGTCTCTGATACTAGACTGATGCAGGACAAATTAGAATTAATTTGCCTATTTAAAAATTTAGGATGGGCAGAGAAATTGCAGAAGAAAAGAAGAACAAACAGTAGACACTAACCCTGGTGAGAATAACTTCATTCTGGTGGGTGCAGGCCTAAACTCTAAAATTAAGACCCAGAATTTTGTATTGAGAAGAAAAAGAGATGCCTCAAGTGAAGATCATTGCCAAGAATTTCATGGACATGGTGGCATCTCTGCCTGCAATCAAGCTTGACAAGCTTTTACAACAATGTTTTCATCTGTGAAGCCATTCTCAGGTCCTTCCCCTCCTCTCTCTCTGGAGCTTGACATCTTTGTTTTATTTTATTTCTTTTTTATTTTAAGAGGAGAAACACATAAGGGCAGTCATTTTAACCCCTTTCTTGTTCAGCTTAGTTGAAGTGATAAACCTTGTAAATTTATTGAAGAATGCTGTTAATTTGATTTTTTTTTTCTGAAGGAAAGATTGTGATCAGTATTTTCACCCATAAGACACTTAAAGAAAAAGAAATAAACCACAGGAGACAAAAACTTTTACTGTTTCTTATTAATTTTCTTTAATAATTGGGTGCTCAGGTCTCTGCAACCTCTAGCCAAGAAATATGTATTACAGACCTTGTACATTGACGTCCCGGTGCCAGCCACGATGTTAGAAGAATGGGTGCTTGCAGATGGAGTCTCTAAGCACAGAGTTGCAATTGATAGATTGATTCAATTAAGGATTTTTACGGAAACTGTTGATAGGTATGCATCTTATATTTTCAAGAACATGCTACTACTCTTTTGGTATTTATTGGTTATCAAGTACTTGTAATATATGTTCAAGGTTGATTCAGGTAAATTGAACTTTATGCATATGGTGATATCAATTCTTTCCTTTTGTAATGTATACAATTGAAAGAGCATTTGCATATGAGAATAACGGCTGGTTAATTTGGTCTAAACAGGTTATTTTTTTCTACTATTGTAGGTACCACTTCTTCCTTTGCCACAACTAAGAAAAAGAAAAAGAAACAAATAAATATGTAAATTTTGCCCTGCACTGCTTGCTTTTTACTTAAGTTCTCCATTTTCTACTTTTAGGAAGAAGGAAACCACTATAGATTGAATCCGATATTTCAAGCTAATCTCCAGAAGCATATGTATATGGGTAAGTTTTTAGTTCATGTAGATCTTTCTTTTCTTTTCTTTTCTTTTCTCTTATTCTGGGAAGTGGGCATCAAAAAGTTCTGATTCTGAGTAACCTGAAGTACTAAGTAGATCATTTGCCCTCCTTTTTCATATCCATCAGTTGATGCATATGTATGGTTGAATGTTTATGTTATGAATTCACAATCACCAAATTAATTGTCGGGCAAAGTTTACCGAAGATTTTCTCATCAAGAGCCTAGGTAGTCACATAATTAAGTGTCCTATCTATGCAATTTAATTAATTTATATTTGATTGTATAATTAATTGGATGCTGTTGAATCTGTCAGTTTGAAGTCAGTAGAGTTGGTTTTGTCTAGACACAGTTAGCTATTCTTAAGGGCAATTCTTATTATTAAGGTGGCAGTTATTGTGTAAGGCTTAAATAAAACTTTTCTTAAAAAAGAAGAAAAAGGAAAAAGGAAAAAGAGGAAGTAGGGCTAATCTGAATAAAGAACTGTGCAGAAATTTATATGAACCAATTTCTAAAGTACTCAACTAAAAGGAGATTTTAGGTTCTCTCTTATTGAGCCTAACAATTATTCATCATAGGAAGAAAGAAGAAGCCAGAATAAATGCAGTTCTACATCATCTGATTTTGATCTACAAGGTACCATAACAAGATCTAGGACTAGAGATAATATCGGCTTGATTCTCAAATTAGCATAAACCATTCATTTTAGCCTTTTTTTCCCTCTTTCTCTCTACTTATCCATAGGTCACTGACATAGCCTTTTAGATGCCACCTTATCTCAATATCTTTTTCTTTTTAGTTCATTTCTGTTGCATCATGCACTGCTACCTCTTTTTCTAAATGCTTTTAATAATAAATTGCTTAGGGTTCTATTGTTACCATCTAAGTTTTGCACGAAAATAAATGTTTCCCAGTTTTTCTTCCAATAATATGATTAAATTAAACTTGGTTCTGCAGTGGAGTTTTGCCAAGAGAACCTATGCCTTCAAATGTTACTGCAAGGCTCCCTAGCTTGCAGGAACTCGAAGCTTATGCCCTTGAACAATGGGAGGTCTGAACTCTGCTTACCTGTTTTCAAGTTTTGCTCTGAACTTTGGAAACTATAATCTATCTTGATTACCAACTCTGCAATTTTTCAGATGTAATTTAGCTTTCGCAACTAACCACCACAACTGCATAACCTGCACTACTAGGATTAGTTGGTGGACTGACTGAACTATCTCATGAGGGTACATAGTGATGAAAACCAGGATTACAAGGGCTGAAATAAAAGTTATTGGAGTGGAGGCTCTCCTGCAGAGCATAAGGATCTCGGCTTTGGAGATGGACACAATATAAGGTCACATTTTAGGATTTTGATTGCAGGTTAATTAACACTAGCAAGCACATGCTGCAAGTAAAAGAAACTCCAGTCTCTCAAAAAAGATAAAAAGAAAGAGGAAAAGAGGAAAACCCACATGATAGTATTGAAGATTTATCTTGGACCATCCTGTGTTTGAGAAACTATATTATCATAAAATGAGAATCTTAAGAATACTGTCTTGCACAAGAAAATCAGAAAAAAAAAAAAGAAACAGAGAGACATTTATTCCATCAAATAAAAAAAAATAAGAAACATTTAGGAATTATGGGGTGACGGAAGATTATCGCGACGGTTTTAGTTGTTTACAATGTAGACATGTGGTTCCAAGGAGATTGTTATCTTGTGTGGATGGAGCTAAAAGGGAAAAATTTCTAACCAAACATTATTTGCATAGAAGTGGTCAAATTCTTATAAATATGTGTATTGGTAGTAAGAAATAAAAATATTATCTAAATCCATTATAGTTATATGAATTGCAACCTGGCAGAATGGAGAATAATGATCCAATCTTGGTTCAGACCTTGGTTGGTTGAATCATATTAATGTTGGTTACTCTCTGATGATTCACAATTGTGTTAAATCAGTGCTTCCTGCTGCAACTTATAAGCTCAACCCAGGCTGAAAAGCTGACAAGTTTCAGCTCTTCCATGATGAAAGTTTTCCAGCGTGGTCTTTTGACTCAGAGGTATTATTTATTGAAAAAGTGAGCCCTGACTTATTTTGTGCAAAATATTTAGCTTGTTTTTAAAACTTTTATACAGGGATAAAGAAGCCCCAAGGTTAACTGAAAGTGGTTTCCAATTTTTGGTATGTAATATGTGAGTCATGTGCCATTTCCACTTCATATGGTCTGTGTTATTTAATGTAATGTTTGATGAATGTGATTTGCAGCTGATGGATACAAGTGCACAACTTTGGTACATCATTAGAGAATATATATCTAATTCTGAGGTATTGATCATAGATTACCAGATTTCATTGACTGGTTCTCTCAGTATTATTGAATTTCTGAGTATCTTTTTGTACAGGAGCGAGGTGTAGATCCAGCAGATTTGATTTCATTTCTGCTAGAGCTTAGTTTTCATGTCACAGGCGAGGTATCCAATAAATCTTGTTAGTTCATAAGATTTCAAGCATGGAAAATTGCTATAACGATGATTTCCATTTCATGGTGAAAATTTTGGTTTTTTTTTTCAGATCTCATTTCATCCTTCTGTTGTGCAATTTTTATGTAGGCATATAATATAAATACCTTGACTGACATTCAGAGGAGCACAATTAAGGACTTTGCAGACCTAGGATTGGTCAAACTTCAGCAGGTTTTCCTTGCCAGGCTATCTTGGAATATGTTAATTCTCTTCTCAGTTACTAAACTAGGTATGATTCTAAGGTTTTGATTGATCTGTATATTTCCAGGGCAGGAAAGAAAGTTGGTTTGTACCTACTAAATTAGCCACCAATTTGTCAGCAAGCTTAACTGACTCATCCACTCGGAAAGAGGTATCTTATTATTTATAGTGCCTTTGTTATTTAGATCTAGGAATGCGCAGCTTCTGGGCCTACTAGTTTGTCTGTACTTTGTTATCCTTCGTCTTAAATCAATAATCAATCCTCATTATTATTAGTTGGAGAGACTTGGATTTGCTAGCCATTCTTGAAATTTTCTTCTCTGATTATTTGAGGGTTGTATGAAGGGCAAGAATGCGATACAGGTTCTTTTTTCCTGGGGTGTTAATGCCTGCATTTGCAACCAGCGCGAATTCTGTACATTTTTATCTGGTGTAGGATGATTTTCATGGCCTTTTTGCTGGGTATTGATGCCTGCATTTTCAACCAGTGCTAATTCTGCACATTTTATTTGGTATAGGATGATTTTCATGGCCTCTTTATGGACAAAGATGCATGGTTTTTCAGGGGGTTCCCTTTGCCGTTAATACAAAGGAATTGGGAGGCTATTTATATTGACTTTTCTTCGTTTCCCTTGCGTTACATTTTATTTAATTTTACTAAGATGCATAATTTCTAGGGAGTTGCCTTTGTCAATAATGCAAAGGGATTGGAAGGCTATTTATATTGACTTTTTTCTGCTTTCCTTGCTTTGTGTTTTATTTGTTTTGTTTGATAGAAGGATATTTTAATCCCATTTCTTTGTACTCTCTTCCTCTCTTGATAACGTCATTCTAGAAAAAGCATTCCTCTTCATTGTCTCATTGCCAATATATTCCTGGGTCTCGAGTAATAACTAGGTCAAATAGACATCATTTCAACTGTTGTTATCTATTGTTTGATAAATCTTTTTATTCATCTTTATTAGATCACTAGCATTCCAAATATATAGAGGAGGATTACAAGAGTTATAAACCTACTATTTAGGAGAGAATCCTAATCTATTGAGTCTCTGAGGAAGGAAGAAGATTTACACCAGAAATTATGGAGTCCGAGTATAAATCCAGATCCTAGACTTTTCACTTCTACACTCTAAGAAGTAAATCTTGCTAAAATCAATCTTGTTTATGACTTCTACAGGAAGTAAATCTTCCTAGAATCAATCTTGTTTAGGACTTCTACATTAT